CTTTCCCCCCCCCCCCCCCAGCCTCTTCATTATCAGTATGTTTAAAAAAAAATAAAAACCACAACAGAAGACCTGAAGGTTTTACATTGTCAATTGTATACAGGCATTGATTATGGAAATGATTAGTTCATTTCCAAGCCTATTCATATTCTCCCTCTACCTTTTCCTTCACAGCTGGAATACCACGATATGTTCAAAAAGGTCTACTAAACAGACTGATAGAGCAACAGATTTCTTAAGAACTAAATATCATTTGGAAGCAGATTATCCTTGCTGCTTTGCACTTACATAAAGATTACATTAACCAGAGCTGCTTCTAAGAACAATTTCTGTAGTTTTCAGTGATATGTGCCGGAAGTACTAAGCTCGGAGGATTCAGAGCCCAGGAAGAGATGGACAAGAATGACTGAAAGTCTTTGGATGTGTTATAGTACAAAATGCCAAAATTATCTATAACTGGCTACTGTGGTACATGTTTTAACATTTCTTTGTATTTGTAAAAACTTCTTTCTATTTAGTTCCGAAGAAGATCAACAGAAGGCACCTCTTACTTGCTGTTTGCATTAGCCATGATGGGAAACTGTACATATGGACTGAGCCTTGTTTTGAAGATGCCAGCTGCTGAATCCTTCCGGGCCCCCTACTTTTTACACCATCTTCCATGGCTCATTGGGAGCTTTGGAGTTTTATTTCTAGACATTTTTGTATCCTTTTCCTGTTACAGCTAGAGTTTCTCAGGATAGGCTTGTTAATAAGTAGATAATAAATTAAGTGGATTTTTTTTTAAATCAAATTTTTTTGTATGATTCTAATCTGATCATAAAATCTTAACTTCTTTCTGAACAATAATTTGTATGCTTTTTATAATAATATTTCTTGATAAGAATAACAACTTTATAGCAAATATCTACATTAAAGCTACATTGCGCAGGTTAGTTTATATCTTGTAGCCAATATGTAGTATACTAAAAGTTGGGGGGAGGAGTTTTGCACATGTGGTGTTTTTCTTACATTTGCTGTCTGATACATGTAAAAAAACCCCAAACAAACAAACAAAACAAACCCCAAACCTGCTTGTTTTTAAATGCAAATATAGAATTATAGCTCTGAGAATTTGGTTAAATTGTAAATGTTATTGCAAGATTGCATTAACGTCAGAGACAAACAATGAGGTTTTGGCAAACTTAGTTTCAGAAAATAGCACTTAAGGGTAGCTGCAGCATTTCTTTGTTAACTGTATAATTCGGGGCAAAATCAGATGTGTTGAGACACTGAGTGCCTCTGAAAACCAGCAGCTATGCTCATTGACTCATGCTAAGGGCTGACTGACTACACAGTTATGTAGATTAGTATGCCAGTTTCCTGAGTCCTGAGCAAAATTAAAACACTATAATTTTTTATTCTTATATTCAGGGGACATACATAAGATGCCCACGTATATTAGTTATTGTTAGTCATCCTCTTACTAGATTGAGCATGAGCATTCTGTGATCAAGAAATTGAAAGCAAAATGTTTAGAGTAATATTGTACTTTTGCTTTAAAAGTCTAGTGAATGGTAGTGTGGTGGTACTTGGTCTTACTGTTCGCTATAGGTTTGTTAGTCTTGTTACTATAGCTTGTATTGCACTTAAAATAGTATAAAGAGGAGATTTTCTGATTTTTCCTGAAGTAAGAATTTTAGTTTTGTGTCTGAAAACGTCTTGGTACTTAGCTCTGTGAATTCAACCTATAAAACAGGATAAAATTAAGAGTGATTTCAGGACCATGCTGAAGCATATTGTGTTAATCCATTCCATATTAAAAGGAAGTTCTTTACCAGATTTACCTGGAACAGTTCCAGAAGTTATGATTCCCAGGCATCAGTCTTGTCTTTCTGATTAAAGTAATTTCATAAGCCACTCCAATTAGACTAGTGATGGGACAGCTGACCCTGGCTTTTGGATGGACTGTTAAATTATAATGTCATTCAGAATAGCCATCTGTGCTTTTTGCATCACCAGCCATGGCGATTTAAGTGGGCAGTTTAGTTAAACATTCTGCATTGTGGGAACATAATACCTCGCTACAGTGGTGAGACTAAACCGTGGTTCATGGCCCGTTTTGAAATAAATTGTAGTTTTATCTTTTTTGAGACAAGGCAGTTTCTTTTGCATGAGCAGACTGTAGGGATTCAGGGTTGCTAGCCCATGTGGCTGGTTTGAGCGCTCGGGCCTTTTGTTCCATGAACGAAGTTGTGACTCTTTCTTCCACCCCCAGCCCCCCAGCTGGAAACATAAACTGGCCAGTATTTATTTACCCAAAAAAACCCTAGAACTTGATCTTGATGACCCTTACAGTACGTTATATGCATATTTGCAGATGCCTTTCTATGATGTACTCTGAAAAGGAACTTGGCCACAAACCTCCCCCATCTCTGACCCTGCCCCAGGATTGCAGTGCCAGTGTGCACATGACATTAATTTCTGGGTTCTGTCTTGATTGGAGTCTGAATCCAATCTTGCTAATAGTCCTCCAGTTCAAATTATATTGAAAACAGATGCTTCCAAATCAGGTTGAGGAGCTTATAGGAATCTAGTCAAGTATATAGTGTTAGTTGAAAATGTATGAAGTATTTGTAATCAAGAGAAAACAAAAGCAGACCTCCTGCTTTGAGAAGCCCTGAAGGTATGGAAGTCAATGCTTTTAAAGAGAGCTTCATTACTGTCTCTTGCCAAGCAAGAAAATAAAAAATCTAACAAACTGGTATGTCATGTTGGACCAGAAAACGAAGAACAGGATCACCTGGGTTATGGAAAACAGAGGAATTAAACCAAAAAGTCATAATTTCTAAGAGGGAGGTGTTTCATAATCGATCATTTGTGTAACAGACAGTCTTTGCTTTGAGGAGTAGTCACAGAAATTGCCTAATTCTAGTAGACTTTTTTCCTGATAGTGTCCAGAGTTTCATTAGGTGGAAAGTAAACTCTCATTTCTCAAGGTCCAAGCAAGGATTAAGAGTTCACTTACTCTGTGTCTGCTGCAGTATTCTTTTGCTTCCATCTGACAAGGCTGGCATTGACTATTTTTAGAAACAAATGGACTCCAGATCATAGCTGGAACAGCAGCTCCAGCGTTACTTAGTGCAGGATTACACTGGAGTTGTTTCAGCTCAGTTTAACAGGATAACACGGTCATCCTGTTTCCTTGGTGTCTAAAGTTAAAGTTATTTGGTTGCACAATAAGCCAGTTATTTTCAATAAATAATGGAAGCGTCCAATTGTTTGTAAAGTGTGAATTGTCCTCCTTTTCATTTTAAGAGGAGTTTCATAGCATTACACATTTGAAGTAGAAATTGGACACGATTTTCTTTTGCAGGAAATGTTTCCTTCCAACCGCCGCTTTGCAGTGGAAGGTGGTTGGAGTTTCTCAAGAAACCACAAAACCCAGGGTTTAAATGGGCCTGATAGGGCACCTTGTCAATCAGAGACGCTTAGTCCAGGTTTGCTTATTTTAAGGTTCCATGGTGGACCTTATTAAAACGTTATTTTGTGTGCATGATTACTTCATGTTTCACTTGTACACAACGATGCAATACTACATATTTTAAAACATTAAATCGGTTGATAAGCAGTTCTGCCCTTAGACTTTTAGCAGCAGCCATCACTAAGTTTCCAAGAGACTGAATCTAGTGCAAGTTTTTCCAGAAAACTTTGTTCTTTTCTGTAAGTCTACTACCCTCTTTCACCCTGCTTCCTTCCTTCCCTGCTCCCACCAAAACCAAACAACTCTGCTTTGTGTTTAGTTCAGACAAAGCCCTTTACCTTTTTTTTTATTTGACATCACCCTATTGTCAGAGAACTGTGTTCAAATCCTCCACCTGTACTTCTTTTCATTAAGTGTAGCCAGGTTGTTACTAGATAGCCAAAGTATATTCAGCAAGAGCCAAGCTGTTGTACACAGACTCTTCTCTTGCACCTTTTGTGATTTGCAGGGCAAACACTTGGAATCCATTATATACTTCTACAAAACATCACGCTTTGTAATTTAATTACACTGTGTAAAGAATATAAGTCTGACCTGACAATTCAGCCAGGAGAGTTTCCCGGCCAAACATACAACTTCTTCTCTGCGCTCCTGTAAATAACTGTTTTTGTCTCAAAACTGTTTCATTTTTTGAATTGTCATTAAATTGTTTAATTTAATGAAACAAATTTGATACACTAGCTCAGTGGCTGTCATGAACTTTACTCTGCGAAGTCAGTTTGGTTGTGTCCTCCGCTTTGGGCTGTCTGCATGCTTAGGTCTTAAAGTTTCCCCCGAAAGTCAGACTTGAGCAGCAGGTTAGTTTCTATATTAAGTAGTCTGGGCAGTTTAGCTTTTATTTAAAAAATATGAGCGGCTGAGTACATATGCTACAAAAACATATTCTGGAAATACTGTTTGATAAGCTCCACATAACTTGTGTTTATAATTTATTCCTTCTTAAAAGCTCTGTTTTTGTTGCCAACTTAGTGGCTAAGAGTGATAATGCACAGTGCTACATCCCAGGCTTGTCCCAAGCCCACAGTATGATTTCAACAAATTTCATTCCCAGTTCACAGTTTCTTTTTCCACCAGTGCAACTATTAAGACTTGGGGAGGTGCTCAGCTGCAAGTACAGTTAGGCCTATAAAAAAGGAAAAAAGAAAGGCAGGAAATTTAAGTGGTAGCTATATATGCTGTAAAACTAATTTGCTAAGCTCTAAGAAGAAAGCATTCCCCACATAATACTATAGAAAGACTAAAATAGGAGTGCTGATCTGCTGTCTCTGAAGGAAATCCTGTCTAGTCTTTAGTTGGGGGCCCTCAGAGGTGGGATGCTGGAAAGCTTTGGGAAGGAGGGATAATTCTTGGGGCTCTGCCTAGGATGTAGAGAATTTCCTCTCCATCCATCCAGGCCGCCCAGAAAGCTTTCTTTTTCTCTCCTTATTTTTATAAATAATTACATACATTAGCCTCAAACTTCTCACAACCATGGTCTACCAGCCAAGTTATTTTAACTGATCTAAAGTGTTCCTGCTAGAATTCTATATGTCAGATTTCCTCCCAGAGAAACTATTTCATTTTTAAATTGGGTTTTTACGTGTAACAGTAGTGGTGATCCAGTCTCTATGAAAGTTGAACTTATATGAGCATACATTGGAATTTGTACAAGGCACCCGGGTATACTGATGACCACTTGTTTCTACACCACATGTAGAAACATGAAAGTGTTCCTGCTAGAATTCTATATGTCAGATTTCCTCCCAGAGAAACTATTTCATTTTTAAATTGGGTTTTTACGTGTAACAGTAGTGGTGATCCAGTCTCTATGAAAGTTGAACTTATATGAGCATACATTGGAATTTGTACAAGGCACCCGGGTATACTGATGACCACTTGTTTCTACACCACATGTAGAAACATGCTTTAAACATATACTGATGACCACTTGTTTCTACACCACGTACCTTTAAACATGCTTTCATGCAGATCCTTATGTTGGAGGCTCCCTACTTGACCTCATCTACAGCACCTGCTTCCACCCATCTAATGTCCTTCTCAAAACATTCTTCATCAAAGATGGATAGCAAGTAATGCTGGGTTTAGCATAGTCTGCTGCTGAAATCGCTCCATCTTTTAGAAAAAGAAAAAAAAAAGTGCCCAAAGTGAGCGAAAAAAGTAGGAGCTATAAACCCTGCCGTACAGAGAGTATTGCCACTTTGCTGGCTGGTGGTGGTTTGCCTTGGTGAAGACAGGCGTCTGGCACCTGCTGCTTTGCATTTCACGTCATTTCCGTATCTATTTACTGTGACTAGGAAATCTTTATTCTGTAAGATGCTATGCATATTTCTTAGAATGGAATAGAAAGGAACACTTAAGGGAAGAGCATAGCTGGATAGCTTTGCATGATAGCTTTATATCTTAAAACGGTATCTCTATCCGAAAACAAAGTGGTTTGTATCAAGTTCAGTACTCAAGTATAAAACTCCTCAACTATCTAGTAAAAATTCTGAAGAGTAAGACATCTCTCCTGTCTGCTCTAAATACACACCCCCATATTTTTTTAATTTAAAAGGCTATGTATGCTTAATGTCAATAATTTTGTTGGAGAGCTGGAACCATCAAGAAAAAGGACAAGTACATACTTGTTAATTCTTTTTAGATTAGCAGTATTTCGGATGGTCTGTTTTACAATAGAAATAAATAATTATGTCTAATTGCACAATTCTGTGTTGAAAATAGCATTAAATATTGAGTCATAGTGTTTGTGTGTCAGTGCTTGTAAATACCAAACCGCCTAGAATTTTGCAGGACATGAGAATTTTGTTTTCTGCTCAGGCCCTGCTGATCTATTGCTAAGAAAAGTTCTTAATGACTTCCCCTCCTTACCAGCATCTACCCTCAGCCCAGCCCACAGTATTTAGACCACTGAGGCTGGAGTAGTACAGGACAATACGTTTGATTCCACCATTGTTCCTAGATGAACCTTGTTCCTATTCTGCTTCTAATGAATTTCACGCTTAGGACCCTTGCAAACACGAGGATGAGGTAGTAAAGGATACTGTCGTATGTATTTGAGCCATATAACCAAGGGGGTCTGAAGTTTTGTGTAAGAATTTTTCTGTATGTTTCCTTTTCTAGTGTTGCAAGTAAAATATGATTAAACTTTTTGCCATAAAAAAGTACTGAAAATGAGCGTTAAGTGGGATTTGGAAAAGGTTATATGCTAATGTAGGAAATTCCACAGTCGGGATTAAATAAATGGATAATACTTACACCACAGTACATGAATTAGATACAGCAAGTTTTAAGCTTTCCTCTGCGGACTGTGGTATTCAGAGTCTGTGCCAGAACTAAATGGATGGCTGCTTTTATTCTGTACAGCTTATTTTGGCTTTAATTGAAAGCAAGTACTGCAAATGCTACCTCTGTATCCTAGTTAATTACTTCCTTACCCAAAAATAACAGATGACTGTGCAATTCATCCTGTATCGTCAGCACAAGGAAAGACAAGCTGGTTTAGCAGCACTGGAAGTGGAACCATTACTGGTGAACGAGGCGACTGCCTAGTATCAGGCTGGATTCGGCTCCTGTTTTCATTGGATTTTGCTCTTGGATGACTTTGACAAACAGTTAAGATTGCAGTTGCTTAGGGACCAAATTTATTACTTATTTTTTATTATTTATTTTGTTATTAATTTGTCATTACTTATTTGCAAATGACATGCCAATAATAAAATATTTAATATTTACTGTGTTGTTTCAGGATAGATACAATTTTTTTTTCCTGATTTTTTCCCATTTTAGCTCTTTCTCCCCAAAGTGTGATATGGAGTCACAGCACTAGGTGCTGTAGAAATATTTATTTGACATCATGATGCAGTGCATATCGTAGGATGACTATTTATTTTTAGATGAACATGTACATCTAGTTAACGGTAGTGTGGCTGGTTTAAAAACAATGGACGAGATTACCCCTGTGCCTTGAACCCATCCTGGAGTTACAGACTGCTCAGTCCTATTGCACTGTATGTCAGATTTGGCCTTTTTTATTCACACTCAATTTTGTATGCATCAGAAGAAAAAACATCCTATAATTAAGTAACCTCAGAGCAGGGCATCTGTTACTGAAGCAAAAGCAGAATCCTGGTGTAAGTTGGTGGGAGCCTCATGTACAGCTCATTGCAGAGTATCACTATGCATTTTATTTTTAAGAGTTAAAGCATTTATACATCAATACCTGTGTGTTCCAAGGAATACAATTACTGTATGTCATCATATACCCCATATAATCTTTTTGTACAGCATGCATTTTCTTTGCAAGCTTCTGGTGTTTTAAGAAAATAAAAAAAAAAAAAAAAATTAGAAGCTAAGGAGACTGACCTTTGCAATTGCGGATTTTTTGCAATACTGTTGTGTTTGAAGAAAACTTTAATAAAATTACCTCAAAGAATAAAGTTGTTAATATTTCATTGAATATATGTATAATGATTCACTCTTCAATAAATAAGTTTGTGAATAAAAGAGCTGTTTTTTAATAAAGGTCAATATGAGCATTTTATACATTTGTGGGCTTATCCTGACGCTCATTCCCTTTGATTTCAGATAACAAAGGGGCGCGATTTAAATTTTGTTTTTAAATAATAAAAACTAATAAATAATCAATTTCTTTTTAAATAATAAAAGAAACCAATGAGTGCAATTGATCGTATCTAAATTGCTGCCAAAAGTGCACACTAAAAATGAAGCATTTTTCTCTCTGAACTTTTACAGAACTTCACGTACTGCTGATGATAACCCATGAAACAGGGTTGGGGTGGTTTTGGAGGGGTGGGAGGCAATCTCATTCCTGCTGCTGTATATGGAAATTTAATTTCAGCTTCTGTTGCAGCAGTAACTTACATGAGTAACTGAATTCTGTGGTTTTGCCAGAAATGAACTGGGTCCCGTCAAGTGATGACTGACTGCGAGATGGTGGATTAGGTGTCAGTGGCACAACGTGCCGTGGAAGGATAAACCCATTCCGGCGGCTCTATAGGTCCGGATGGCTTACAGCCCTGCCGCCCGCCGAAAGTACTGCTTGGTAATCCCCACATCGGTGGTGTTGGTTTAGGCAGTGCCACAATAGCTGAGTAAAAGGGATTTGCTAAGTCGTGTTGTGAAAAGCCAAGTACTTCTGAAACGTTTTACAGCTCTGCGAGACGCTGAGGGTTTATGCGAGATCTACTCCAATGAAGTCGGTTACTTTATTAGTCTCAGTGTATACTTAGAGTGAACATGTTTTCCCTGATTTCGAAGCGAGTAGAGGGTATTAGAAGTTAACCTTTTCAGTACATAAATTAAAATGCAATTTGTCGTACTCGCAGATTTATATGCTGTACATGTGAGATTATCAAACTCTTGCCTGGCTGGTGATTGAAACCATGCCTTGTTACTTTTTAATGCAGTTAGAATTTGTTCTTACATCATTTCTTTAAAGATTATTTCCCCTTTTATTGCTACGTGTAATCCTGTTTTGGGATGTCTTTTTATCCCCGTTTCATACTGCTGTTTATTAGAACAGCCAAATACAGGGTATATAAAGTTACTGTGATTTAATTTGAGAATTTTAATGGCAAATAATTTAACTTTTAAAATGTGGAGCAATGATAGTTAGTTATTGATAGTTCTCATATATGTACTATTTAGTATATGGGTTAACTGAATACTTGAGAAAACATTATTTCCGATTAGCTATTTGACTGCAAGAGCTGATCAAATGCATACAGTTGTCCTTGCTGTTTCCTATCGCCTATTAGGATGTAAGGTTTCTGTCATCCCTTTGCTCAGCCCATAATTATTTTCTCAGAACCAGACCCTGCCATGTCAGAAGGAGATGTTAGAGCTGTGCCCAAATATACCAGGTTAGAGACTAAAGAACAGATCCTGATCACCTCGTTGTTAATCTCGAGCAGGAAAATACAGCATGTAGCTTCTATCACAGCTATTTTGTTGGAAAGCAAAGTGTCTTAATCTTCTCGCTTTATGCTACTAATTCTTCCCCTGTGCTGCATGTAATCCAAGATTAACGGCATTGTTTTCTAATTTTATTTTTTTAACTATCATGGGAATCTCATTAACTAAAGGAAACATCTAAAATGTCTTCAGGGCTTTATTTTTAAACAAATTAATCAAATAATTTAGCTAACATAGTTCTCCATTGTCCACAGAAGATTGTTCCAGGAATGGAGTTACTCCTGGCCATTACACATTGGTTTTGATCACTTGTTCCAATAAGAAAAAGATGTACTTAATTCGCCACTTCTGACTATCTATTGAAATTGTAAATTTGCCAGTGTTTTTTCTAAATTCATGCTTGGATTCTTGCTGACAAAAAAATGTATTATTAGTCTAAAGGAAACAAGGTTGGTTCATCTAGTAGGAAGCATGGAGCAAAAGCCACCACTCTTGGCTGCTCCAGGATCTCATTCCCTCCCTTTCCTACTATCTAGCTTTTAAGGTCTGCAGCATCTTATGGAAGCAACAGAAGATGCTCCCACAAGTTTTTTAGTACAATACCTTCTAGAGGGGGTTTGTTTACAGCTGTACCAAAAGTACAAGAAAGTACAACAAGAAAAAACACCTTATTTTCAGGTTCAAAGAGCAGAAGCCATGTCTCCATTTGTCATCAGTGCCGTGACTGAACCTGTGCAAGGTTGTCGCTCTATCTCTGGTAAGCCTCAGAGGCAAGAATATCCACGACTGGGCAACAGCCTTCTTGTTCTAATTACTCCATCATTATTTGCTTACTTATTCCTCTGTAACCTCAGAGATGCAAGAGAAAACCGTTGTTTGTTACAATAGCCGTTATTACAGAAATGAAATAGCATTTTCCTAACAGAGCAATGTTTGTGCTGGAGAAAAATGGCAGCTGTGCCTTGTGCTGCTTGCTTTGTTGCTGCCTCTTTGCGTGACTTAATACATCCGTGATGTTTTACGTTTATGGATGTTGAAGTTAAGAGTTAAACATCTGTGCAGCACTGTGTGTAAGAAGCTGCAGGTTAAGATAATCAAAGCTTTAACTGAGGGAACCCTAAGAAACTGTTACACACATCCAGGGCTTGGGTCCCTTCAAATGACATTTATTAGTACTCAGGTAACAGACTTAATGGATAGCAAGGAAAAGACATGGAAAACACTTGGGCCGATGGCTACAGTGAGCTGATGCCACGAACCGAGCCAGGGCATTGCAGGTCCATGCACCCCGTGCCGGCTGTGCCTGCTTCCCAAAGCGAGCACAGGCAACTGCCCCAGCAGCAGCACAGATATTTCCCCTGGTTTCCTAATGGCAGAAGGCTGGGAAATTAATGCTCTGCACATGAAGGATATCAGTCCTGGGGTTAAGGGTGGGTTAGGGCTGCTGTTCCCTGTGAGCAGGGGAGCGGAGCACGATGCTGCCGTGGAGGGAGGAGAGAGGTGGCTTTGGTACCCAGCCAGGGGAGGAGCAGTGATGCAGCCCTGCTTGGTCCGCAGCTGCTTCCTGCTATGGGGCCAAGGTCTGGGTGAGATCCAGAGGTTTCATTCCAAAAGTTGCTGGTACGGCTCTTGGCTGTGGATGTGCCCTTGCTCCCTACAGCAGCCATGCAGGCAGGAGGCTGGTGCTCCCTGGGCTCGGGAAGCCTCGGGGCAGCATCTGTGCTGCTGGCGGAGCCTAGTTCCTGTGTCCTGTGCTTGGGTGAGCAGCAGCTGCCGCCAGGCAGTGCCACCACGGGCACCACACGGCCCCGGCAAGCAATGGCAATGCACCCAGAGCTGCCTTTGCAGCACAGCGCTTCCTCCGACAGGTCTGGATCCATCCCCTGAAAGCTCCTCAGTACTGCAGCAAGGGCTGCTCCAGCTTCTCCTCCAAATCCTGGTTCCTGAGCATTTCCCAGCTGTTCTTCTGACAGTCGGGGGTTAATGGGCCCCATCACCACCAGGAGAGGTAAATCCAACCACTGCTGTAGTGTGTTTTAAGGAAATTTTAATGGTGGTAGGGACGATTCGTGAATATTAATAGCTTGTAGTACTTCAGTGTCCGTCCATGTGGCTGCTTGCTAGATGCTGCTGAAAATATATGGTATGGAGACAGGGCATTGATTCATATCATGATGAGGGGGGTCACTGTAATGTGCTCCAAACAGCTTTTAAATTATGACTGTGGAGGAATTAAGACCAGTTTAATCCAACTAAATAATACTCCTAATGATAAACCATTAAAATCAAGTTGACTTTTAGATTCTAGCAATTGTATCAGACAAGGTGATTACACTCAACATCAGTATTGATAATCATTAAAATAGATTAAACTATTGACTGAGAAATAAGAAACGCTGGTTGACTCTGGCAGAAATGTTGGTTTGACTTTACAGCAGTGCCCCTCCTGCTCCCTGAAACTTCTTGCTGCTACGTGGAGGTTCAGGCAGGTACCAGTTACTGTTCTTCATGAGCATCACGTGCCTCAAAATCAGCACCTATTGTAACAGCACATTTTATCTTTAAATGTCTTTGGAGGACAGGTTGCAGACTTCAGGAAGAAAGAAGCATTGCATCATTTTGTCTGACTTGCTAGTGAGCCACAGGCTTGTACCAGCTCCTGCTGGGAGCCCAAGCCTTTGTTCGGCTGAAGGATGTCTTCCAGGGTCTTAACACACCCAGAGGGAATGGCCCTCACTGGGAAATGAGCCTTTATTTCTCAGTGCAACCTCAGCAACTCTCTTTGCATTTCCTTCAGCAGCAGCCTGAAGGACTTTCTCTTCTTAAAGGAAGTTCTTGTAGATACAGTCCTAAGTGACTTGTACATGAAATGACTCAGTTCTTCTGACGAAGCTGAACACATGGAGCTGCCTAAGCTACCTACTGGGACCACAGCATGAGCAAAGCCTTAGCATCCGAGGTGGATCGTAGATGGACCTGAGGTAGCCCTAAACCCACCAGCCCATGGGCCTGGCATTTCGCACGGACTAACGTCATCTCCTTAGGAGACATTAGCTCAGCAGGAGGTAGGACACTGAGCTGAAATCAGTGCAGGTTTGGGAAAGGCTGGGGACTCCCCCAGGCACCACAGCCCATGGGGCACAGCGTCTGGTGTGGATGGTGTGTGGGGGAATGCTGGATCAGAGCAGTTGGGCAGGGTGACATGGTCCTCCGCAGCCCCTCTCCTCCAAGGCTGTCGCCTAGCACTGAGGTCATGGTATCTACAGCAAAACCAAAGACTTTTGCAGGACCAGTAGTAAGTGAAGACAATGGGAAGGACCCGAAAAAGCCAAGGAACGGGGGTGTAATGCTGGGGGAGAGGAGAGGGAGGTGTGTGTGAAGGGGAGGAGAAACCACCTAGTCAGAACTGATCTTTCTTTGCCATAGGCAGCACTTGCTGCCTGATGGATTGGCCATAACACGGGACCTTGATGTTAAAAATATCCTCCATATCAACGAGAGAAGGTGTTTTGCAAGTG